ACACCAAAATAAACTCAAAATGGATTCGAGACCTAAATGTAAGATTGGACACTATAAAAGTCTTAGAGGAAAACATAGGAAGAACACTCTTTGACATAAATCACAGCAAGATCTTTTTTGATCCACCTCCTAGAGTAATGGAAATAAAAACAAAAATAAACAAATGGGACCTAATGAAACTTCAAAGCTTTTGCACAGCAAAGGAAACCATAAACAAAACGAAAAGACAACCCTCAGAATGGGAGACAATATTTGCAAACAATTCAACGGACAAAGGATTAATCTCCAAAATATATAAACAGCTCATGCAGCTCAATATTAAAAAAGACAAACAACCCAATCCAAAAATGGGCAGAAGACCTAAATAGACATTTCTCCAAAGAAGACATACAGATGGCCAAGAAGCACATGAAAAGCTGCTCAACACTACTAATTATTAGAGAAACGCAAATCAAAACTACAATGAGGTATCACCTCACACCAGTTAGAATGGGCATCATCAGAAAATCTACAAACAACAAATGCTGGAGAGGGTGTGGAGAAAAGGGAACCCTTTGCACTATTGGTGGGAATGTAAATTGATACAGCCACTATGGAGAACAGTATGGAGGTTCCTTAAAAAACTAAAAATAGAATTACAATATGATCCAGCAATCCCACTACTGGGCATATACCCAGAGAAGACCATAATTCAAAAAGACACATGCACCCCAATGTTCATTGCAGCACTTTTTACAATAGCCAGGTCATGGAAGCAACATAAATGCCCATCGACAGATGAATGGATAAAGAATTTGTGGTACATATATACAATGGAATATTACTCAGCCATAAAAAGGAATGAAATTGAGTCATTTGTTGAGATGTGGATGGATCTAAAGACTGTCATACAGAGTGAAGTAAGTTAGAAAGAGAAAAACAAATATCATATATTAACGCATGTATGTGGAACCTAGAAAAATGGTACAGATGAACCGGTTTGCAGGGCACAAGTTGAGACACAGATGTAGAGAAGAAACGTATGGACACCAAGGGGGGAAAACCGTGGTGGGGTGGGGATGGTGGTGTGCTGAATTGGGGAATTGGGATTGACATGTATACACTGATGTGTATAAAATTGATGACTAATAAGAACCTGCAGTATAAAAAAACAAACAAAAAAAATCTAATACTAATTTTTCTTTGGGTTATTTGTATGTTAATATAAATGTTTCAGACATTACGTGAAATTTCTAAAACTCTTATATGTTCTGGTATAATGTTATAAGTCATAATTCAAGTTATTACTTTAAAATGTATTATCTCAGAAATAACTAAATTTCCTTGTCAATTGCATTATTTTGAACTTTCATCAAATCTTTAACCATGGTCATTTTTAAGTCTTTTGTCATTACAGACAGTTCTGGGTGTATTCTGATGCTTTTTCAAAAATGTTCCTATAAAAGGGTTTCATCGGGCTTCCCTGGTGGCGCAGTGGTTGAGAGTCCACCTGCCCATGCAGGCGACACGGGTTCGTGCCCCAGTCCGGGAAGATCCCACATGCCGCGGAGCGGCTGGGCCCGTGAGCCATGGCCGCTGAGCCTGCGCATCCGGAGCCTGCGCGTCCAGAGCCTGTGCTCCGCAACGGGAGACGCCACAACAGGGAGGGGCCCGCGTACTGCAAAAAAAAAAACCAAAAAAAACACAAAAGCGTTTCATCTTCAAGGAATTCATGGAAAAGACTCTGGCAAGTACAGGTTTCTGGTAACTGACTGTACTGCTGAACTGAATAAATAAGCATTTTCAGAAATCTAATGGAAAACTGATGAATTCATAAAAGTGCTAACAAAAGGTCAAGATGAAAAAAAATTAATTACACGGGACTGAGTGAACTGATGAGGATGATTATAATTTTTGTGACTTTCTGTTTGAATAAAAAAAAAATCCCACAAGGACTCAGAGGCAAAAAACATACAAATCAATTTTCACTGCAAAGTAACGGAGCTGTTACAGTGGAGGATTACTGGACTGAATGTCAATATTATGACATAGTGTGATTGTGTTTCGTGTTTGGTAATTGCAATCATTGTTGCTTTTGTTGTGGTCATCCATTTACAATGCTTGGTGTCAGTTTATTAAGCTCTTGTAAAAATAAAATACAGTGTGTGTGTGTATGTGTGTGTGTGTGAAAAATAAATTAAATACAATTGAGTACCATAAAGGGGGAAGTGACATGAAAAGGAATTCTTTAAGTATTTGTTTTCTTTGCATCCGTTCTACACATGGCTCTTAATTATTAATAAAGCATATCTTAGAGGGGGCCACGAGTGAGCCTCACTTCATTATTCCCTACTGTGGGCCACGCTGTCAGTTTCTCTTCAGGCTTCAGCCACAGTTTTTCCTTCCTAACTCCACCCAGATTTTGTTTATAAGAATACCCATCCTCTTTATAGTCACAGTACCCCCAGTTCTAAGAGTAAGCCTGATTCTTCCATGGATAATTCCACTACCCCTTGTCAACGATCAGTTATGAGTGATCCCATGACTGAATTCCAGCCAGGGAGACATGAGGGGAAGTCTATTAGGAGGCTTCTGGGAAAACTTCCCTCATTCCTAAGAGAGAAGTCATCCTTTTTCCTCTTATTTCCCTGTGGGAACGTCGATACTGGAATTGCTGCTGCTATCTTATTACGAGCTTGAGAATAAAGCCAACTCCAAGGATTTCAGAAGAGAAATATGAAAAGAATCCAGGTCCTTGACGGCACATTGAACTGTTCAATTGACCAATGCTGAAGCACTCCTCATCTTAGTTGAAAACTTTCGTAGTGCAAGATAATGCATTTTCTTACTTTTAAGCCCATTTGATTTAGACTTTCTGACATTTGCTCTTAAAACATCCACATGATACATCTCCAAAATGTGGAAGATGTCTTGCACTTAACCACTTATTACTTTCCTCATAGCCCTAAGTTACTTTTGTATATTTTGTTTGCTGGTTGAAAATCAACTTTTCATTAAGCATCTGACATGTGGGTGATGTGACTTGAAAAGGATATTTCAGGAATCAGCTATTGTTCAGTTCTCCTTTCCAACACAAATCAAAGGGTACATAATTGTATTGGTCAGGATAGGATAGGATATGATGCAGTAACAAACCCTAAATCTCAGTGACTTGGCATATGTTAGACGAAAGCTCTTCTCCATCTGGCGACTCAAGAATCCAGCTTTATTCTCTGCAGAAATGCCTGCCTTCTCAATCTGGGGCTCCCAAGGTCACCACGGCAGGGAATATAGTACAGGGAGACAGCACACCAGCTATTAAATATCTCCATCCAGAAGTAACACACATCACTTACATTCACATTTCTTTGGCAAGAACTGGATACACATCTTGCCATCCTTAATAAAGGGACTACATAAAAGATGATGGAAGTGATCCTGTGCCAGCTCCAAGCTTTGAACCTTAAGAAGGTCTGGCAGCCTCTGCTTTTGCAATTTGGGGATCCCTCGAGCCACCAGGTCCAGCTACTCTTCTGGCGGGACCACGTAGGAAGACCCTGTGGAGGGGCCACACGGAGAGGGCGAGGCTCTAGGACTACTTGGGGGGTGAGAGAAGTCTCATCTCAGAACTTCAGCTGAGCCCAGTCTTCCTCTGCCTTCACCCAGGGGCCAGACATGAGAGTCAGGACATCTTGGACATTCCAGCCCCCGCTGGCAGGTGACTGCAGCTTTATGAGAGACTGTTCATAAGACCAGCAGAAGAGCCATTCAGCTGAGCTTTAGTCAACTCACAGAACCAAGGAAAATAATAAAATGGTGGTTGTTCTAAGTCACTAAGGTTTGTGACATAACTAAAATGGCCACCAGGCAGCAATGCCCCCAGAGAGGGAGCCTGGGGATAAACATTTCAACCTCACTCTTCTCTCTACCTCTGATCTCCTTGTAGGTGCTCCCCATAAATTGAACCTAATTGGAAGCAGAGGGCAAGGGAAGCTTTGATGTTATCCATAAAGGTCAGCCTCTCAGGGCACAGATCAGGGGAGAGAAGAATGGAGACTGGATCTGGAGAGGCGAACAAAAGCTATTCAGTAGGGTTCACCCCCTGTGCCCTGCAGCATCAACTCTTGATCTCTGTGCAGGTGAAATTTTGTCTCCCCATCATGGGAGATATTCAAAGTCCTTCAGCTTCCATATTACCATAGGGAAATGTTTATTCAGTCATAGTCCCAACTGAATCTAAAATATTAGCCAATACTAGAGCTTTTTATTTTATTTTTTGGCCATGTTGTGAGACATGCGAGATCTTAATTCCCAGACCAGGGGTCGAACCCATGCCCCTGGCCGTGGAAAGGTGGAGTCTTAACCACTGGACCACCAGGGAAGTCCTGACTCTAGCATATTTCATATCAGGTGGCTAGGACAAGGGGGAAAGGGATGTGGAAAAATAATTAATTGATATGTAAAACATAGCTATGACCATCCCTGCTTCTGTGACTGGTCATGAGGTCTAAGCAGGTGGTAATTATAGCTGCATTCTTCCAGATTAGCTTCATGTTTTTCTTATCCTCTGATACCATGTCAGCTGGATGGGATCCTTTACCCAGTAGGGTGACTCAAACCTTCTTTCCCGTGGGGTTTCAGTTCCTAGTGGTTTTGCTTTATTGTACTGCTACAGTTTCCCATTGACTGGGAGAGTTGGCCAATTGAGTACTACGAGGTCTCCAGTGAATCCTCTGGGCTCCAAACATAGTTCTCTGCCTTTCTTGTGTAGCAGCAACCCAATTTCTCCCTGGTAATCAGGATCAATGACCCAGCCAGCACAGTAGCCTCATTCTCTGCATTCCTCCCTTGGGCACTAGGATCTCTAAGGGACGCTAAGGTCACAGAGACGGAAAGCAAAAATTCTTCAAGTGTACGGTGTGATAGGGAGAAGAAGCACTCTCACCTTTGACCCTTGGTGCCCATGCATTCTGGCTAGGAAAAAGAAGGCACCAGAAATTGACCACCGGTTAAAAGCATACCTCGATTTATAAATCGGCAGCTCAACCTCACAGGGTGGTGTCTCTCAGCTGGTGTCTGGACTGAGCCATCAGCAAGCCACTCCACTGTTCTGTCAAGCAAGTTACTCCTGTGTGATGGAGCACGTGGTAAGGTCAGCGAAGTCCACAGGTGCTGAGGGCAGTGCTCAACTTACTGCCGTAAAATGCATCCCCTCGTCTCAGGCAACGCTGTGTGGGATACGATGGTGGTGAATAAGGTGTTCGAGAGAACAAAAGCTGGTGGAGTTGGCAGAAGCGCTGAGCTCTTGCCGCTGATTTTCCAAGATTTATCTTTCCAAGCTCCTGACCAACTGAGTCACTGTCCGTGTGTCACTATAGTTTTGTACCTCAGGCTACCTCTTCTTTTTTCTTTATTGAAGTAGAGTTGATTTACAATATCGTGTTAGTTTCAGGTGTACCGCACTGTAGGTCCAACAAGAACCTACTGTACAGCACAGGGAACTATACTCAGTATTTTGTAATAATCTATAAGGGAAAAGAATCTGAAATGGAATATATACACGTACTCTCACTATATATATTGAACCATACTCTCCCTCTCTCTCTCTCTCTCTCTCTCTCTCTCTCTCTCTATATATATATATATATATATATACACATACATACACACTCAACTGAGTATATCTATACATTGAGCAGAGTTCCCTGCGGCAGACTGCTAGTGCAGTGGCCCTCACTGCTGGCGGGTAATGGCACAACAGGCAGGTCCATCAATAAATATGGCCTATGTTTTTCCCTTTTCTGTTAACTGGCGGTATGGAACTCCTTGCAAGGCACTGGTGTGGACTGAGAAAGAGGTGACAAAGCAGAAGGAGCTGGGGGGAGGCCTGCCACCTGCTTATGCAGTTTCCTTGTGTCTTCCTGACCTGCTTATGAGACCAGGCATACCACTTCTATTTTATAAGAAATCTGCTGTGCACGTCCAAATTTTGATGTTTTGGTAGAACACATACCACTGAGTTCATTATGGGCAGTTTGGGTCACAGGTGTCTGTCAGGGCCTAGTTATCCAGGAGTTTTGTTTTGTTTTTCAGTACATAATAGTTGATGGCCTTTTAGGAGCTGAGTCCTTCCATTGAGGGATGCAGCTGAGTTCTTAGAAGGGGGCTGGAGGAATAAATATCCTAACCTCCCTCTTCTTCCTCTCTCTGAGTTCCTTGGTTTGTCATGGGCTGAACCTAAATGGAATCCAGAGAACAGGGGGTTCATTGGTGATTGTAGACCATATAGGTCACCCTCCCAGGGCACAAAGCAGGGTGGACGGTGGATCTAGAGAGGCAAACGGAAGATATCCTGCACGTCGGGTGAGTATAGTAAAGGGAGACACAAAGGAATTAAGAATGAAGTGAGGGACTTCCCTGGTGATCCAGTGGTTAAGACTCCGCGCTCCCAATGCAGGGGACCCAGGTTCAATCCCTGGTCAGGGAACTAGATCCTGCCTGTGGCAAAGAAGATCCCGTATGCCGCAACAGCCAAATAAATAAATAAATAGTCCAAAAAAAATGAAGTGAAAGATAACATTTAAGCTGGGTAGGGGGAGTGATGAGGACATGGGAAGAGGGGGACAGCAGTGAGAAAGATGCAGGATCTTATAACTACAGGTCCAATGGGGGTTACAGAGTATTTAAGTGGGAATACTAAGGCAAGCTGGGAAGACAGAAGGTGTCTGTCAGAGAAGGGAACAGCTTAAAATAAAACTCTTTTGTGAAATACTGGTCATGATAAGGTTTAGAATAGCCCTGTCCAGTGGAACTTTCTGTGATGATGGACATGATCTATATCTGTGCTGTCCAGTTCTGTAGCCACTCGCCACATGTGGCTATTAAGCACTTAAAATGTGGCTAGTGTGAGGACTTCCCTGGTGGTCCAGTGGCTAAGACTCCATGCTCCCAATGCAGGGAGCCCAGCTTCAACCCCTGGTCAGGGAACTAATATCCTGCCTGTGGCAAAGAAGATCCCATATGCCGCAACTAAGACCCGGCACAGCCAAATAAATAAATAAGCATTAAAAAAAATGTGGCTAGTGTGACTGAGAAAATGAATTTTAGATTTTATTTAATTGTAATTAATTAATTTTATTTTTGATAGCCAAATGGGGCTAGTGACTACTGAATTGGATAGTACAGGTCTGGAGTGTGATCACGTCAGCTGCTTTATTGGGAGGTGCAATCTAAGGGCAGCAAAGAATGACGGAAAAAAGGGAGCAGAAGCAAATACATGTGGTGAGTTACAGAGCTGGTCACAGCCTCACAGGAAAACACACTGGTCACACAGGACATCTCTGGAGGTGCCACGGGGTAGTGCTGTGGGAACAGCCCATCAAGGGCAGGAAGGAAGATACACTTGTTTGCTGGCTTCTTCTCATCTCCAAGGGTGCCCCACAGGGTGCTAATTACTCCACACTTCTGGGTTGTGCTGGGAAAGCAGCACTTCATCTAATCTGGAAGCTGTGCGAGGAGCCAGTCAGTAGGTCACTATGGACCTGGGTGCTGAAGCTGCTGCTTTCTGAGTGGGCATGAGGGACCTCAGGCCAATGCCATGCTTTCACTCCCAGGGAGTCTGAGTCACCTGGGGCATTAGGAGATGAGGTGAGCTCCACTGAGCAAGAGGCCAAGGTCAGGAGGTAGGGTCAGGGGGAGCCAAATGAGTCTGCAGTAGTGTATGAACTCAGTCTTGTATATTGTGAGTGACCTTGGGCAGGTCAGCTAAGTACTTCAAGTCTTAGCTCCCTTTTTTGTACAATGGTAACAGGCCCTACCTCGTATGCTGGTTCATATTATTCATACACATTACCCAGTATTATTTACAAGAGCTTTGTAACAATAGGTGAGACAGCCATCATTCTTGCCATTTCACAGATGTGGAAACAAAGAGAGAGTAGATGAAAATACTTACAAATGCTATAGCCAGGGTCCATCTGACTCAACTTCTTACTCTTTCCACCCTGTCACACGTCCCCTTGAGATTTCATCTGAGGACTGAATTTCAAAACCCTAAGAGAGAGGATTCAAACATGAAAGTGAGTTAAAAGTTATACACGGGGGCAGATATTATAAAGGGTAAAATGTGTGTCCAACGACATTGATTTTATAAAGGAAAATGTACTTTGAAATCAGTTTACAAGCATAGTTTTATTTATTTTTAATTTTTTTAAAATTGGAATAGAGTTGCTTTACACTGCTGTGTCAGTTTCTGCTGTACAGCAAAGTGAATCAGCCATACCTATACATATATCCCCTCTTTTTTGGATTTCCTTCCTGCAAGCATAGCTTTAGAAGCACTCCAAAAAAATGTTTGTTTTGAACGAAGTTATTTCTGTTGAATCGTACTGATCTGTTGAAGCATAAAACATAAGACCCACTCTTCCGAACAATTTTCAGAGGACGCAGTCTAATTTGCCAGGCGAGCGCAGCAGGAGAGCTGCTATCATTGAGACCACACATGCTCTGACTTGTCAAGACCTACCTTCGTGTTTCCCCCTGCCAAGGAACAGGCTCAGCTATCATGATCTCTAATCCCTTGGATGCAGCTGCCTGTCAAAGACTGTTAGAGCCCAAGCCACACAGCTTTCACTGACAGCAAACCTCTTTCCCATCTGAGTTCTGAGGAAAAGAACGCAAGATGGAGGGATTAATGGAGCAAAGACCCTCCAGACAGTATGAGTAAAAACTTAATGATGAAAATGAGATGTGTGAACTGTTAATATTTTGCACTTCATGTACATAGACAGTGAAATCAAGACTCTCTTAAAAATAGGGTTATTACCTTGTAGCCTTCAAACTCTCTCAGTAAGACGATATGGGAGTGACAGTAAGGGACACAGACAGAGCTCTTAAAGAAGCCTGGCAGTTCCCGGGAGCACACAGCACAGATGAGCCGTTTCAAAACTGAAGACATTTCCTGTGAATTACACGGACGCCATAGGGCTATGGAAACAGAAACTGGCACCTACTGACTGATGTTCTTACCCTGAGAAGCAAATGGTGGAAGGGATGAGAAGGTCATCCAAATGTTAGACTGAGTCAGGTGTCCTGGAGACCCAGGGCCTCCTCATCGAGAGAGAGGCAAACAGGGGCTCTGCATCTCCAAACTTGCTCCCCTAGTCCTAAACCAGAAGGTGATGGTGGCAGTGCCAAGATACAGTGAGGATCAGCACGGGCTTCTTTCGTGGGAAGCTAAGAGGTCATCTACTACTGATGTAAACACTTCCATGAACTATCTCCAAGGCCACTTTTTTTTTTTTTTTTAGTAAATTTATTTATTTACTTTTGGCTGCGTTGGGTCTTCGTTGTTGCACGCGGGCTTTCTCTAGCTGCGGTGAGCAGGGGCTACTCTTTGTTGCAGTGCATGGGCTTCTCATTGCGGTGGCCTCTCTTGTTGCAGAGCATGGACTCTAGGCACGTGAGCTCCGTAGTTGTGGCACGTGGGCTCGGTAGTTGTGGCTCACAAGCTCTAGGGCGCAGGCTCAGTAGTTGTGGTGCACAGGTTTCGTTGCTCCACGGCATGTGGGATCTTCCCGTGTCCCCTGCATTGGCAGGCGGATTCCCAACCACTGTGCCACAGGGAAGTCCATCCAAGGCCATCTTTAATGATAAGGAAAGAGAGTCTCAAATATGGTATAGTCTGGAATGGTAGAATTTCAGATAAACTTTCCACCAGAAGAGATAGAAATGGTGCTGTCAGAGAAGATACATGTCTGCTTCACGTGTTTGTGTTCTTGTGTCCAGAATGGTGCCTGCCATGGATACAATAGGACAATCTCTGTCATCAATGCTGATAGTAACAAGGCTTGATTTAAAAAAAATTTTTTTTCCTGGGCTTTCTGGAGTAATTATTTGTTTACCTTTCACTTTCAGTGGTCAGGGGATGAAAACACATATGTTTTGACTTCACATTGTCTTGTGAGGCATTAACCAGCTGTCCTTTCATGAACAGCTGTGAACATAAAAATGTTTCAATACTATTATATCTTCTTTAGACAAGTTCTCATTTTACCCCCCCCCCTTTCTCCTTAAGTATACAGATATCACTCAAGGTTCTACTAGTTATATGATGTTGAGAAAATTATCTAATTTCTTTGATGTTACATTTCTACATTTGCTTAATAGGGATGATAGTAATGCCTATCTCACAGGGGTGTTCTGAAAAGTAAATGAGTTATTATCTGTGAGTGTCTTCAGCAGGATGTTTAGTGGACTGTATGTATGCATAGGATTATTGGATTAAAAAACATGCAAAAATGGGACTTCCCTGGCAGTCCAGTGGTTAGGACTCCGAGCTTCCACTAAATCTGCCATGCTGTGTGGTGCGGCCAAAAGTTAAAAAAAAAAAAAAAAAAAAAAAGCAAAAATGACAACGAAGTTTTACTTAGCTGACATTTCAAATTTCTCTTTTGAGTCTGCTATGAATATCAGAAGAAAAAGGGAAAGGAGCAGGAAATAGTCAATATTTTAGAAAATACTTCAGAAGAAAATCAATGTCATATGGCCCAAACTTTTTTTTTTCAGATTTAGGCCAATTCTACCTCTCCTGAAATATGGTCAGTTTGAATTTTCTTTTGATTTTGAGGAATTTTCTTTAAATCAAAGACCTCTAAACATCTAGATTTTTCAGAGAAAATACAAAGAATTAGGAAAAGAAAATCCTGCAGCATTTCTGGTTTCATCTGGATTGGAATTTATAGATTCTTTTAAAAAAATTTTGAGACAGATTTTTGAAATTTATTTATTTATTTTTGGCTGTGTTGGGTCTTCGTTGCTGTGTGTCAGCTTTCTCTAGTTGCAGCGAGCGGGGGCTACTCTTCATTGTGGTGCACGGGCTTCTCACTGCGGTGGCTTCGCTCGTTGCGGAGCACGAGCTCTAGGTGCATGGGCTTCAGTTGTTGTGGCATGTGGGCTCAGTAGTTGTGGCTTGCAGGCTGTAGAGCGCAGGCTCAGTAGTTGTGGCATACGGGCTTAGTTACTCCACAGCATGTGGGATCTTCCTGGACCAGGGATCGAACCCGTGTCTCCTGCATTGGCAGGCGGATTCTTAACCACTGAACCACCAGGGAAGTCCCTGGAATTTATAGATTTTTATCAAATGTTTTATAATTTTTTATAAAATGGGAAAACTATTTAACTTGCATGAATGTCATTCTCAATTAAAATTTTGTGCAAAAAACCTCATACAATAAGTTACTGCTAATAACTAGAGAGGTAAATGGAAATCAAGTTTTAAAAAAAACATCAGCAATAAATAGTGATCGCCTACTATTTTATGCAATACGTTAAGCAATGGGAATATACTTCAAATTTTCAGGAAACTAACATTCAAGTCATTCAAAAGGACAGTTAGAAGAGTTGACTGTGAGTGCATTATTTTATGAGAAAACAATACTCTTTCTTTGGTAGAAATTTTGTTTATGTTTTTTCTACTTGATTTTGTGTAATTTGGTGTTTACCCGGGACATCCCTTGTGGGGAGTAGAAACAGGGCGATTGAATGTAAAGGGATTTGAGGGTGAGGCTAGGCAGAACAGGCAGGGGCTTGATTATTCATCTGGCTTGGAATTTGTCTGGTTTATAAATGAGCTGAGAACTAAAGTCATTATTTAGAAACAAAAGGAGAAACTTTCTCATTAAGACCAACTTTATGGTCATAAGATTACAAGTCCGCTAGGGAAATTAGGGTCAGGAGAGAATGAGTGAAGATGCCAAGCTAGGATGAATTAATCCAGTAAGATGCTGTGGAAATACCCAAGATAGCATACATCTCAGCTTTGGAGAGATGAAGAAAGTCCCTCCTTGGAGGAGGGGAGACTTAAGTTGAACTTTTGTGGGTACATAGGAGACACACAGGAGTCAGCCATGGGAAAGAGGATTGAAAAAGGAAGGAACCACACCCAGGAGCTCTGGTTCAAAGACCAGCAAGCAACACATTTGGATTGACTGGGATGCTGAGAGGTGAGGCCAGAAAGGTGACCAGAGATTAGACAAAGAAAAACCTTCAATCTGTCATGAAGGCAATAGAGATCCATTAAAGGATTTAGGTTAGGGGAAGACTTTAAGCAGATTTGCCTTTGAGTAAGATCCCTCAGGACTAGTGTGAAGAAGAGATTGAGGGAGATAGTCTAGATATTGGCCAAAATCAAAGTCTTAGAGGGAAGAAAGTGACATATAATAAACCTGTTTTTCAAGTTTAATCCAATTTTAATTTCCTCGTGTTGCTCTTAGAAGCAACCCAGACATCTTTTTTTAAAAATTAATTAATTAATTATTTTTGGCTGCATTGGGTCTTCTTCGCTGCGCGTGGACTTCCCTAGTTGCGGCAAGCAGGGTCTACTCTTTGTTGTGGTGTGCAGGATTCTCATTGCGGTGACTTCTCTTGTCGCAGAGCACAGACTCTAGGCATGCAGGCTTCAGCAGTTGTGGTACGCGGGCTTCAGTAGTTGTGGCCTGTGGGCTCTAGAGTGCAGGCTCAGTAGTTGTGGCGCACAGGCTTAGCTGCTCCACTGCATGTGGGATCTTCCTCGACCAGAGCTTGAACCCGTGCCCCCTGCATTGGCAGGCAGATTCTTAACCACTGCGCCACCAGGGAAGACCCAACCCAGACATCTTGAGTAACTACCTAAATATATAAATTCAATTTGCAACCTTCATGTAAATATATACGGCTAATGTGTTGGTAGATTTTTATACAAACAAGAATTTCAAGAGAAGCTGGATGTAGTTCTAGAGATGATTTTCCCCTTGTGCAAGCTCAGTGGCTGGATTCCTTTGATTTATCATTTAAAATCATTAGTCATGTCAGATGTTATGAGCAATTGTATAATTAAGGGTATATACGCCCTCTCTGAAGGGCGCCTCTATGAAACACAGATGGCACTTTCAGGGTTTTTCATATGTGATTTAAAAATGAATTCACCAGTGATTTTAAAATGAATTCTTAATTTTTTAGTTCCTTGACATTGTAAACCATAACATTATGAAACTCAATGGTTTCATTTCTATAGT